AAATTCCAAGTTTAAGCCGTGAAGCGCAGCCTTTCTCCTCTGTTCCCCTTCCCTCGTCAGACGGAAGGATCAGTGCTGGAAGCTTCGGAAGCAGGCAGAAGTTAAATACCAATTTTCACTGCAGAGATACATTATCAGCTTTCGTCTTCTCATTTTATGTTTCTCATTACAGTTTCCCCAGTCAAGAATTTCGCATATTTGGTAAAAATCAGCAAAGTTGCTTAACTTAAGGTCCCACCTGAGCGGTTTAATCAGGATCCGAAGCTTATCTGCAGCTGGTTGTCAGATTAAAGGTCCTCTGGAAATTAGTCCTTCTACCACAGTGTACGAGATGCATAGTTTTCTTTAAACATTGCACCATTCAGTATCAGGGGCAGGTCAAGAGGGGGGCCAGGGCCACCCCTGTGGCCACCCACCCTTACCAGGTGATTTATTGTTTCCCCTGGGATGTACTTCAGTACCCCTGGAACAAGCAGTTCTCCGCTAAGCCTGATGGTGGCAGCAGCAATATCATCATGTGGAATTTCCTACTTTGACATTTTAACGCTGGTATTTTAACCAAAAACCTAATACAAAAATGCAGCAAAAAAATCATTCACAACACTATACTATATACTACTAGAAGAATAATCCTGAATATCCAGAATGTTTGCTCTTTTATGAATTCGTTTTTAGGTTTTGTAAGGGAGAGTTTGTCTTTGCAGTCACCCAAATGTTCTCTAGAGATAAAAAAAAAACATTGCCAAACCCATTTATATATTGTTTAGAACCATAACTTAATTTGAATGGTACAAATGTCTAAATAGGTGCATAAGTTTATCAGTAAGGACCCTAATATAAAATTTGGTCTGTTTTCAGTGATTTATTTGGAAGTTGTAGGTGTTTTGTCTGTTAATTTTCCTGTTGGTGTAGTTTGAGCAGTATAGATTGACCATAAGATGTTTTTTTGGCATCTATCAGGTTTCAGCACCCCTCAGAGCAGATTGGCCCCTGGGTAGAGAAAAAGGCTGCAGACACTGACACTCTGATAGGCGGCTCATTTCCACGTGGAATGTCCGTGGGTGAAGCATAATGAGCGCTTTAGCAACACCGGGATAAAGTTCCTAGAAATGCCACGGTCACCATGACCAAATCATTTGAAAAATCTTTTATGAAAAAAATGAAAAATCTTTTATGTCTGTCAATATGCACTATCCAGAACTCCTCAAGGGAAAAAAAAAATGTTCCACCTGGTTTAATTTTGCAAAATGTCTTCTTTAAGGAACATTTTGCTATCCAATTATTTATCAATTAATAAAAAACAAAAATCAGATTAATCGATTTGCTAAATAATGGTTAGTTGCAGGCCTAGTCTCAACATCTCCCCCACTAGCAGTGAGGGTTCCTTCTTTATGGCTATTTTCCACCTTGACATCAGCAGAACCCAATAATCCTGACCTGTAAACTGCCAAAAGCTCCTTTTTTTTATTTTACTCACTTTTGTGTCAGTATAGGTAATTTTACCTCAGAGAACACAAAAATCCCCTGTGGCATTCCCCAGGGAACCATCTCCCCAGTTCTACAGTCCTTTCACTGGCGCAGAGAATATACTTAATACCTCCTTTAGTCTACAAATGATTGAATGGCTTAGCACCAAAACCATACCGACATGTCAGTGGATCAACCACCAAGACCGCGGTCTTCTGGCTTATGCTCACTAATTTGGAATATACTCCCAGAACACTATAATGTTGTTGTACTGTAATGCTAAAACTCTTAGTTGATATCAAAAACGTTTGTTCATAGTGGCCTTTGATGGTGCTATGTAAACAATATTAGTTGAGTTTTCAGTTGAACTTAATTTTTTTAACCAATTATTTTATCTCTAAATTGTCCTTAGGTGTGAGTGTGTGCGTGAATGGTTGTTTGTCCTGTGTGTCTCTGTGTTGCCCTGCGATGGACTGGCGACCTGTCCAAGGTATACCCCGCCTCTCGCCGATAGACTGCTGGAGATAGGCACCAGCACCCCTCGCGACCCCACTCGGGACAAGCGTGTCAGATAATGGATGGATGGATGGAATTATTTTATCTTTTGTTTTATTAACATATTTTAATTAAGTACATTTGATTCCCTTTTATTAATGAGTCTTAAGCATAAATTCAATCTGGAAGATTCTGATCAGCCTCACCTGGATCACCTGCTGGAGTCCTACCTCCAAACCTTTAGCCAATCATCCTCAGGACCGCTCCACTCCCAGAGTCAATCGACTTAAAGGTCTCCTTCTTCAAGAGTTTTTCCTGATGTTCCTCCTGCTTACCACCCGTTTCTCCACCCCTTCTCCTCTCCAAGAGGGAATGTTGGGAAAGGCTCCATCCCTTTCATCCTGGGCTTATTCCACCATCAGTGTCTGGACAGCGTGGGGAAGATTGATCCTCTGTCTCTCCTAAATCCATCGATCTGATCATCCATCAGTTCAGAAAATCAAGTCTTCAGCCAATGTCTAAGCACCAAAACTGATATATTATTATTCTTGTCAATAAACTCTTCTAATTGTAACTTCTCTCTCTGTGAGTCTATCCAAGTTGAATTCATGTTAACTATATGCCATCGCAGTATTTTTATTGACTTACTGAAATGTGCCACATGGCCTGTAAATGGCCTTTACTTATATAACGCTTTTTCAAGTCAAGAGACTTGATCAAAGCGCTTTACACTACATTCAGTCATTCACTCGCACACTGATGGTGGCAAGCTACTTTGTAGCCACAGCTGCCCTACAGTATGTGCCATATGAATATTTGGCTAGTATTTTATTTTATTTTTTCTCCAAAATCCTACAGACAACAAAACATATTTTACATGCCTGCTTGACAAATAAAAACATATTTGAATTTGTTGTGTAAGCTGAAAGCCTGAAAGCCTAAAAGAAAACCACAGGTCTGCTAAGGATCGGTTAAATAAAAAGGAATTTCCAAGCACTCATCATTGCAAGGCTTTAATGAAATAAGACGTGCCTGTGAAGCATTTCGCTCTGAGCCAGAGAACCAGTGACCCAACACATGGACAGATGTAATTCATTCTCAGGACGGTGATTCTTCACGGTTGTTATCTCCGTTAAATCAGTTTAAACTGCTTCCTCTATAGGCTGTAGTTCAGATGTGATGACAGGCTAAATATGCACTGACCTCATCTAATGACAGATAAACAGTTCCCTGTGAGTCAGACTGGAGAGAGTAGCACAACCAGCGAGTTAGTCATCCATGCACCTTGTTTAGTGGAGTCAGAGTAAAGACCGTGACTTAGATTGTCCTTTTAGAGACGCCCACATGCTCTGGGACGTCTGTGTCCTGTCTGGGCTGGTTCTGTGGGGCTCTGTATGGTATAATTAGAAAGCGACATCATAAAGCAAACTATGCTTCTCTTGCTCCTTTATTTTATTTTTACGAAACAGTCGCTAATGAATAAATAAATGAATAGAACAATTTTGTTTAACATCCAGAACAATTGATCCAACTCGTTAATTTAAAATTAGAACAAAGCATAAAATCAAATCAAATTAATTAATCAACAAAAATAATGAATTAGCTTTTTTTTTTTTAAATAGCTGACTATTTTTGTAAATTTTGCTCTATTTGACAGTTGGAGCAGAGTGGGTGAGCCAGGGCACCACTGGGCCTGAAAAGCACTGTCCAAGCAGTGAAACACAGAGGTGTTAAGGGCAGATCATACTTCTGCAACAGCACACATCAAATGTCGCTTGGGTCTGGTCACAAACCAGTTTTGCTGGTATGCTTCTGCACCATCGGTCTGGAATTTCTAAGGATGCACAGCAGTTTCCCACCAAAGCACAAGGGGGGAGCCTATTCGAGAACTCGAATGGCCACAAGAACTTCGTTTCGACAAAGGCCTTGGCATCTTTATATAATTTGTCTGAGGCATCGTACAAGTGGTTGTACCTCCGAACCTCCTCGATTAAAACTTTTGTCGCAGTTGTCCTCGGTTTTTAAAAATGGCGCGCCCCAGCACCTAATCGAGGAGGAGGACCACACAGACAGCTGGAAAGGCATACCAAGGACCAATCACAGCCGCTTTTTATCTTCACAGTCCGATGTGTAGTCAGGATTTTTTTAGGCACGCAATGACGGTTGAAGGACCTCTGTGCGGGGGCGTGGACGCGCACAGAGAAAGATTTGACGGGTGCAGAGGCTATGGGTCAGAAGCATAAATTGGCCTTTAATCTTGGCACCTCGAGGTTTAATTGCTGGGACACACAGATAGTTTCAGGTAATAATATGGGGTAACTGAAACTCATTAGCAGTCTGAAAGGAAACTTTTTACTTTTGGAACTCGGGTTTTAAGATGTCACAATCAATTAGAATCCGGGTTGGCAAAAGGGCTGGTAGCCTTCATCCTGAGCATAATTCTAACCTAATTTATGGGGGCCGAATAAAACGATTTTTTACTCTTTTAATTAAATTAATTAACTTGGGTCTAACAGATTGGGGAAGTTGGTGGAAGAACATTTCAGCAAGTCAACGTTTTATTATACAGAATAGGGCTAAGTTTGTAATAAGAAATCTCAATTTTTTTTTTACATTTTTGGATTTTCCTCTCCCAAAACGAAAACATCCACGTCTGTCTCCAGAGTTGTGTTGTTTCCCTAGCTTTGGATGTTCCCTTTTCAGGATGCATTGTTGTGGGGCTTGTTTGAAAAAGTAGTTACTACTATTTGCATGCATGAATCTGTTGCATGTCTTATTTCTATTTCATGTGGGAAGACTACAAATAGAGCTATTTTGAGATGCCGTTTTTATTTTGATATTTAAAATAAGGATAATTTTCCACCCACTATACAGAAGAATTCCAGCTTAATTGTAGACATTATAAAAGCTGTGAAAGTCAACAACCTATATAAGATAAAGTATGTTAAACATTAAGTAACATTAAGCATTTAATAATCAAATAAAAAGTGTATAACATTAAAAACTTGCTGTTTCCTGCTTTGTTCCTGGTCTTTTAGCTGGGACGGACTGAGACAGCAGTGAACAACCTAAACCCAGTGTTTGGGGTCAAGTTCCAGGTGGATTATCATTTCGAAGAGATTCAGAAGCTTCGCTTTGCCATGTTTGATGAAGACAAGTGTGCAACGCAGCTTTATGAACACGACTTCCTGGGAGAATTCATCTGTACTCTGGGCGTGGTACGGCAGGACTTTCTTTTTCTTAGATCTACAATGTAACAGCTGGTGGAAAGGTGTAATTTAATTAACTAAATTAGTGTTTGAGTAGTAGACAGTGCAGGAAAATTGACCAAGCTAGAGTAAGATAGGCTGCTGTAAACACTCTGACTTTAAGATCTAAATTCCTCTTATTGTTTAAGAATTTAGATGATTCTTTCTTTTTACATTATCTTGTAGATCGTGTCAAATAAGAAACTTCACAAACCATTGATATTGGCCAATGGCAAGCCAGCTGGCAAAGGTTCTATCACGGTAAGATTAATACATATTTTTTCCATTTCCTTTTGGTCTTTATAGCGTTTATTACCTCCAAAGGATAAAACACTTGACACTCAGTTTCGATTTTTTACTTTTTCAGTAAAAACTATAGAGGGATTATTTGTTTATCAACACGGCGGATGCGCGCGCATCTTAACTGCAAAAAGTGCTGGGTCCTTTAAAGCGTCTGGTCGAATGTTGTGATTATACGCGGTTATTTAGCAGTTGCGATCTGCCAGCTAGCAATGTTGTCAGCGTACTACAACAGTTTATCACCTAGTGATAAAATAAGTTATGCTGCTAAATTAACACTAGTTAATGGAATACGTCTTAATGACCCATACGCGTTACATGCCGGTGAGTGGATAAATGACGAGAAAAAATGGCCCAAAATTCAGTGGCCGGACATTCATTCCCACCTGTTCAAAGTGCAATAGGCATTTCCACTACGAATGTGCAAAAGTAAAAAGAAAGGCTAAAGAATGGTATTGTGATCAGTGCATAAAACAGAAAAACTAGAAAAAATGCACTCTGAAACATAGAGTTGTAACTGTACCTGTGCTTACCATTCAAAGTATGCACTAAGGTTCTCAGTGTGCATCTTATGACAAGATTGTTTAATATTGTTATTTTTATTATTGGTTACATGCACAAGAATAAATATATTTCAATGTTTCCTTGACTCTTGAATACTTTATTAATATTTACACAGGGTTTACACAGGTATCAGCTGATTGAATTGTTTTCTTTTCAATGGCAAAACACAAAGCAAAATATCTGCATATTTCATTTAAGATTTTCAAATATATCATACAACAAAGGAATGAGGAAAAATCTCAATATTCAAAAGCAAACTGGATACAACACACATTTTGAACCAAAACTGCTGCAAAATGTTTTAAACCACAGCTTTTGAATGTTCAATGAGCTTATGCAGTGAAAAAACTTAGGCAATCATTTTTTTCAAAAAAATAATATTCAATGACATTTAAACCTCAATTCATAGATGTTAACAACATTAAGGCCTTAATTTTGGCACAATTCAATTAAGGGCTTTTAATTTATTTTCTAGGGACTATGCATTTGCAAATGTTTGTCAATGCTGCAAAAACAATTACAATGTCATCTAACAGGTCCACCTGTGATAAAGGAATAACTAGGGTTGGGAATTGAAAAGATTTTCACGATTCCGATTCCCTTTTCGATTCTATTAAACGATTCGATTCTTTATCGATTCTTTTTTCGATTCCAATTTGGGGGAAAAAGGAGAACAAACAGTTTGATTATCAGAATCAACTTTGTTTACTTAACTATTGCACAATCTTACAAACTCAACAAGATCAAGATGTCCACAGGAAATGTGAAACTGGAGTAACATCTGTGTTTAAATGAAAAATGAATACAAGAACAAACTTAATAACCAACAATGTCTAATAACAAATGATGGGATAATAACCTATTTTAAATAACAAAAAATACTAATTATAAAAAATTAGTAGGGAAAATTAACAGTTCTTTTGCAGAAAGATGAGCATATCTGCTTTTTCTGGAAGGATACAGGATCTTTCAGGGCTTATGGTGTCTCCAGCCGTGGAGAACACCCTCTCAGATGGGGTGGAGGAAGCCTGCACACAGAGGTAGTTTTCAGCCAGTCCAGATAGCAAGGGCAGCGTATCTTGCTTGTTCCACCACCACAGTGTGGCGCTATCCCTGCAGGGGATGGAGGGCAAGCTTTTATAGAGCTGGATTTCCTGATCTACCCTCTGGGCTAAGGAAAGACGGGGCTTTGATTCAAAAAGTGACCGCAGCTCGCTGTCTTCCTCCTCGAATAGTTATTTCCAAATTGCGTAACTTGCGTAACTTACGTAACGTACGTAAAAAACGTGACGTAAGTCATGCTCCCCAGAGCCGGCGCTCTAGGCTCTGGTGCTGCGGGAATCGAAAAAAGAATCGTTCAGCGAGCTGCCAAACGATGCCATGGAATCGGAAAATACGGAACCGGTTCTGAACAGGAACCGGTTTTCGATTCCCATCCCTAGGAATAACAGTAGTAAGACTTCGGAAAGTTTTCCATCTCCCTATTATTCTTTCATTGTGTATTCTAACATTGGACAAACGCCTCGATGTTTCCACCTCTTGAGCAGACAACTGCTTTTTACCTTTGGTAAAGTGAGGGATCCTCAGGGTAGCACCACGCAAGGCAAGCTCATCTCTAATGGTAAAACCACGATCTGCTAGTATCTCATCATTTACTTGTAGAAGGTCATAAAATCCAGACTCGGCTGTAAGTTGTTTATCAGAAACACGCCCACCCCAACCTGCAGACAGAAATGTAATTGCTCCTGCAGGTGACATGCCAACCAAATACTTAACCGTGTTATGGCTCTTATAATTTGAATATGTTTGGGCTCTGGCTGTTAAATTTGTTGGTCTGTTAATAAAAACGCTGGTATTTAGGTTTGAAACATTTTGGCATATTCTTTAATATAGCATGCTTACTTGGCCACTTAATCAAAGGTTTCAAAATCTGAGACATAATAGGCAGCCAACTTCTTAAGATTTTAGAGATGTCACATTCGTTAACATTAAATCTGAATGCAATATCCTTGTTGGTGAGTCCTAATCTGAGTTTCATGAGTACAGCCAAAAGATGATCCTCTAGGGTCAGAGAGCCACGGATGACCTCAACACTGTCCTTAACCGTCTGCAGGACCCAATTAAAGAGGGCACTGGTTAGACCTGTGAAAAACAGCACCTGTGCTGCTTTACACTTCAGTGATGCAAAAGAGAACTGTGCAGTCCCGAGCATTTCTTTTAATTGTTCATTCTCTGTTTTCAGTTTGTTGATGTCCTCACGCAGGTTATCACACTCTGTATGAAGTTGGCTGTACTTCAGCTGGAGGTCATCATGGACAGTCTTTGGGACCATACCTTCTGAAAAATAAATACAAATTTTACATTCTTATCTTAGTCAATCAATTGAAAAGACAGCACACACAGAGAAGTTTAGACCAGAAAACGTGATGATGTTAATGATAAAACTTATGGCTGACCCGATGAGTTGCAACTTGATAAGACTGAATCAAGGTACATTAGCTTGTATGCTAGTTATGCTCCAATGTGTTTTGTACGATTCATTAATCCCGTTTATATATGTAATACTTAATAATTGTATGTAAAACCATTGTTTGTAAAACCAGCGATGCCGTTTAGCTTTTTTATAGATAAGACTTACCTGAGATAAAGTGATCGCTGCAGATTGATGCATTTTTAATCATCTGCTCGTTCCAATCGCTTCTTCTGATGGCTTGCAACCAAAGACGTCTCTTGTTTGCCTTGAAAGGGGTGCGAGTTGATGGGATTCGGTAAAACTTGCGCGTTTTATTGTTTTTATCAAAACGGTTCGTGCAACCGACAGCACAACAAGACATGTTAGCGGCTCTTTCTGCAGGCGACATGCGCGTATTGGTGCCGGAAGTGACGTAGAGTGACGTTGCCTGATAATCCCTCTATAAACTAATGATAAAGCAAATGCTGTTAGTTTTTCATAGAATATAACAAACTCTTAAATTGTTTTGCTCTTGTTGTTGTAATATAGAATTGTTCACTGTTGCTTCCTGCAATGGGGAAGCAATTTTTGTTTTTGATTGTTCTCCATGGTTTGTGTTTGAGTGTTTTTTTGTGCATTTACTTCAGATAACAGCACAGGAGCTGTCTGACAACAGAATCATCACTTTGACCCTGAGTGGGCGTAAACTGGATAAAAAGGTGGGCAGTAAGAGCCACACATTTGCACACAAACACAAAACCCGTGGATTTACTCTGAAACTCAGAATGCATACACAAACAAGCATGCATGTAAATAGTGCAGTGCATACTAATTCAAAACACAAAACCCACACAGAAAACATTCCATGAAAATGTTTTACACCAATTTTTTTTTGTCTTTAAATTCCAGAAATTCCGGTGCATTTTTTAACATACATAAACAGTGCATGATGCCTTAGTTTTAGCATTTGAGTCCGATTCTAACATCTGCTCTGCTGAGAAGAGCTATTTAAATACTGCATTTAAACAGGAGTCATTCATTGTCTTTTTATATCTGTTTCTTGCAACGTTTAATTGCATGCACAGCTTCTCTCTTTGCTTCTCTCTATCAGTAAAATAAAGCTGCCTGAATCGAGCAAAATTTAAACTGAATAGAGCAACTGCTGAGCAAAATCTCAATTTGCTTTCAGCTCATCAGGGCGTGTACCTGCTGTGTACCCTCCTGTTAAACCACCAGGATGCATTTAGAATAGTAACTGCTGCAGCTGAAATGTTTTGCAAAGGCACCACTTCTGTTTATATGATATTCTGGCAGAGCTCAATGTTAGGGTTGTTATTACATTTAGAAAGAAATTAAGGAAAATAAGGTTGATAGCTTTTTAATTGTGGTGTTTGCAGGACTTCTTTGGTAAATCAGATCCCTACCTGGAGTTCCATAAACAGGGAGAAGATGGGAAATGGATGCTGGTACACAGGACAGAGGTTAGTCCTTAATTTGAATTAAACTCAGTCTACCGTGAATCACATACTAGTTGCTGTCAGTAACTATGTGTCAGAAGAAGACACGGAGCACAACTTATGCCTAGTATAATGACTTAAATATCTTAGTGAAATTAAAACAACACAGTTTCAAAATGGTCACATTTAAATTTGCAAAATGTGCTCAAATTTATGAAAGTCTGTCTTTTCTTTGCTCTCAGTAAGTGCTCTTAGTCTTAAAACTCTGCTTATGTGTCTTGCAAAGTAGCTTTGTTCTCTAAGAACAAACACCATTCAGAAACAAACTTGCAGCAAGTATTGACTCCTAAATGAACCATCATGACACTTTCATCTTGACTACCATAAAACAGATAAATCCCATTAAAGCTACAAGTTAATGTTTACTTACAAAGGGACATCCAATGGACCTCAGGTAACAAACATAAGGTACAGGGAAAAAATAATAAATAAGGAAAACTTTTCCAGTCTGGTGATGATATAGCTTAAAACACCCGTCTCTCGCAGTCACACTCTAATACCACAGCTCATTTAAAGTGGGCGAAACTGAACAACAACATTTACCTGAATTTATTATTTTTTTTCCCTGTTCAGTTTAATGCTCCTTAGTAGATTCTTTGAAGTTCCTAAGTGAATCATCTTCCAATTAGATTTTAATCTGACGTCTGTGGTGTTGCCATCCATGGAACTGGATGCTGAGTAGGACGCTGTTATTCATTGAAAAGCTAAATATGCAATTAGATTTCTTTAATAGTAAAAATGAGATTCATTAGCTTATCTAACTCTAGTATTATATAATTAATACTTAAGCTGAAACTAAGTTCCATCCCCACAGCTGCTAATGGAAAGGTTAAAGGAAAAATATTTACAATGTGTGCAGAGAACAGAAAAAGACTAACAAAGTAGGAGCAGTAACTGCAAGCTCAGGATGTGTTGTAGGGAGGATCCTGTTTGCTGACGATCCGAACTCAGATAACTCATCATGCAAAACATCCTAAAATAATCTGTAACCTTTCTTTGCCGTTTGTAGGTAAAAGCCAATTAGCAAAAGATGTCCACTAGCTCATGTTTATGTGTTCTTCTATTCAGCTACAGTTCATAATTGTTGCAATTAAATCAAATGATGCTAATTCTGTGACTTTAGGTCATAAAGAACACATTGGACCCGGCGTGGAAGCCTTTCACTGTGCCTCTCGTTTCTCTTTGCAATGGAGATGTGGACAGAAGCATTAAGGTGGGTTCTTCTGACCTCTTTGTTTATTTTGTCAATTTCGCTACCTAATGAACATTTTAAGTAGAAAAAATATTATTAACATTAAACCATACTGCAAGAGTCCCTGGAGCCTGGTGATAATGTTTGTTCTTATGTGGAAAAGAACAACCCAGAGGAATGAATAAAGGATTTTCTGTGAGGAAACAGGCTGATCGATTTGCTCACCGACAGGTGCTGTGTTATGATTACGATAATGATGGAGGCCATGACTTCATTGGAGAGTTTCAGACCACAGTTTCCAAGATGAGTGAAGCACAAAACTCTGTGGAGGTAAACACTAATATTATCAATGGTGTGTGTTATCAATTGTGCTCCATGTCTGCAATGACTTTCAGTGTCTCTAAAATCATAATATCTTGTCAAGTTACAATGTGTGAAGATCTAAATTGTTGGGCATTTTCTCTTTGTTCTTTCAAGTAGATAACCTTTATTCTATTATCTTACTCCTATTCCTGTGATGGTTGGCTGCTCTTTTGCTTGTTTTTTTCCCCCAATCTCCCTATACATGTATGTAAAATCAACAGTTAAAAAAGTCACTAAAGATATAATGGAGGATGGGTGGATCATCAAAATAAATGGTCCAAATTTTCAATCATTCTGGTGATATCTTTACATGCATGAGGAAAAATGGGCTTGTGCACGCTCTCACACGGGTTTAACAGGCATCTCTTCTTGGCAGCGGGTACAGGGTTATGCAGGTGCATTTTTTTTAAAAAGAGGAGAGGGCGGGTATTTTCAAAAATTTGCAAAAATCCTCCAGTATACCTTTAAATCTGCAAAACATCAACATGACACTTGCTTTCCTTAAAAACTGATAAATGTCAAATATAAAGAAAGAAACCTTGAGACATTTTATACAATAAAAAAAAAAACGTATGAAGCGAAGAGGAAAAAAAAGGCCACTTGAAAGCAAGTTAAAAGTTTTTTCTTGATGAAGGTTAAAGTAAACAAATTTGACTAAGAATTTCTCTCTTAAACACTTTTTCAGTATATTGTTTCTGAGTCATGGAAGTTTGCTGCTAGTTTAATCCCTAGGACAAGAAGTAAATTTCCCCAAGAATCTGAATCTCCTTCGTAAATGTCTGCAGAATAATTAGATTTTTCCTCTTAAATGATGTCAAGTTGGGTGGGTGTTTGAGAGGAAGATCCAAATGCAGTGACCGAAGCTGATTATTTGCAGATTTAATATCAAATAGTTCAACAGAAGCAAAATCCACAAAACAAATCCTCAGAATCCCCAGAAATACTGAAAAGCAGAAAACTCACAGCAAACAATGACTAAACAGGAGGTTTATATATGGGAGACAGAAACAAAGACCAGGCCAATTAGCAGATTGAGAGCAGGTGTGGACAGAGTAGTCTAGAAGGGAACCAGGGAAAAGACTGACACAAGATGGCAACCAAGGGCAAACAAGAAATACCTAAGAACTCAAATACAATCAAAGATAACTAGAATAAGACAAAAGCAAAATAAAACTACTGAAAACTTAAACATGTCATAATTTTATCTAAAGCTCGGACCCACATGCAGTGAAGCCAAACAGAGAGACACAGAGTAAAGTTTGAACGGGTAGAGTTCGGTGCAGAGTTCCTCCGGAAAACTGAAAGACAAGGGGAAGCCAGACTGTTAGATTCAGGCTCAGTGGGGAAATGGAGTTGTTAATCTTGAAGGAGAGGATTTGTTGCCACTCACGTTTCCAGAGAAGAGGAGACATGTAGACTCCAGTATGTGTGTTGATCTTCCAGGGTTTGTTTCATTCGGTGGAGGATGGAACAGGGTTTACTCAGAACTCGGACGGAGTGGAATGATGCAGCTGCTGGTACCCCAAACTGGCAAACTCTCTGGCATCGAAGTAGTGGCAACCAGCAGCTTAAGAGCAGTCCGGTGATGAGGCAACAGCGTGCAGGTGTGTGAGGAGGCGAACCGGAGCCAGGCGCCTCCTGGTGGTGGAAGGGAGAAACACAAAAGACAAGACAAACAGACGAACACAAAAACTGGGATCCTGACAAAACAGAACCAAAACCCTGACAGATGAACTGAGCAGATTAACATAAGGAGATGGATGAATGAAAAGTGGAAAGAAAATAAACTTGTACATGTCTTTGTGGTTAAAAAAAAAAGATTAAAAGCCTCAAAGGTTTGACATGCAAACATATTTACCCTCATTTACTCTGATTCCCTTAAAATTCCAAAAAGCTATCAAATCTCGTTAGAAGTCACTTCATGTGTAGAACTGTTTCAGAGCAATATTCAAACTTTGAGCATCTTATGGAGCTCTGTTCAATAATCAATACAAAGAAAGAAAATGGGCCACCCGCAAACCACACAAGATGTGGTCAGCAACTTAAACAGACAGGATGTGGAAGGAGATCATTAATGAGAGAAGCAGGCAAACGCTGATGGTAACTTTGGAAGGTGGAAGGACCGCTCAGTACAGCGGTTAGTGCTGAAATCAACATCTGGTCAGATGAGCCTGCATGTGGTGTAAAACAAATGTAACACACTCTGAACCTACCGTTTCTATAGGCCAGTGTGACTGTGGAAGCATCATGCTACATTTATAGTTTTTCCAGGAGAGACAGAGAAGCTGCTTAGAGCTAATGTGATGAAGCTGCATACTTGATGACGCCACTGGGAAACCTGTAATAGACAGCAAAAAACTTGTGATGGAGGTCCACCTCTCAGCAGAATAACCACCCTAGTCATAAAGTTGGAGAAAGCATTTAATATTTAAGAGCAAATAAATGCTTTTTTAAAATGACCTAGTCAAAATCGAGAGCTAAAACTAATTGATAATTACTGGAAGAGGGATTTTCTGTCCAGTTTAATAGAGCTTTAGCTGAGTTGTGACACAGTTTGCTAAATATAAATGAACAAATCAAAAAGGTATTATTCCTTTACTCCTTAAATGCTGCTTTGTTTTTTGTCTGGCTTATGTAATTCTTACAATCTAAAGAAATACATATGCCATACATGTTTAAGTAGTAGGAATTCTTTAAGTAGACCGAATGCTGCTGTGATTACAGGGTTTTGGGCATAAGGATTTTGTCTAAGAAACTCAGTCATGAGGAATTGATAAAGTCTCAAAAGAAAATCAGCTTCTGAACACAGACTGGAACATTTCAATTACATGAATGTTATTTATTCATTGAACACTGGACTTCCACATATCTGCATCATCCTGTCTAAACTAAACCAAAATCAATTAAGTCCCATCATCTTGCTGATAATCCTGATCCCTGTTTTCTCTCTGAGTTTCTGTCCTCCTGCCTCCTGTCAGCTGAAGATAATATGAAGGCTTCCAGATCAGAGCACAGTTTATTCATTAGCAGCTCCCTGTGTTTTCTCTGTGTGGATGTGTCAAGGCAGCCTCGTGGCTCCTTCTCCCACTGACTCCCTTCATGTGTGATAAAGATGTGTGCGTTAGCGGGCTGGGGATAACAAGCAAATAGCGACACAGGCAGAAAAGAGTGATGCTGGATGGAGATGCAGCTAAAAAAAAACGAGGGTGACAAAATGAGAAGTGCTTTTGCTTTGCTTTTGAGATGTAAAGCAGCCTTTAGCTGAGCTGGAGTAACACAACACAATGTTAAGAGCCACCTGTCATATGAATCAGGCGCTGACTTAAAGTGATTTTGCACAGTACGTTTCTCAAATGTCCTATTTTGATCAAAGACTCTTCAATTTAAAGTGCGTTGCTGTGAATTTGTCCATTGTAGAAAAAAGTGTTCTTTTTTCCACCTAGATCACTACAACTGTTTTCCTTACAGACATAGGTGCAGATATAAAGACTTTGCTGCACCAGAGTGTAGCACAATTGGCCTTTAAATAATCTCTAAGTTTGCCTGTCCAGTTGGAGCTAACGTAGGCGGTGTCTGGAAACTTCCCAATTCCGGTCATAGATCCCTGTCTCCTCTTTTCAGCTCTGCTGTCCTTTTTCACTTTCTAAATGTGTCTGTTTCTGATAGTTTTTTCTGTCCTGACATTTCCTCTCACATTTGCTTTCACTCCTCAGGTGGAGTTCGACTGTATCAACCCCAAGAAACAGAAAAAGAAGAAAAACTACAAAAACTCAGGAGTCATCATTGTCAAGTCCTGCAAGGTGATGGATGGATGGATGGATGGATGGATGGATGGATGGATGGATGGATGGATGGATGGATTGGTGGGTTGGATGGATGGATGGATGGATGGATGGATGGATTGATTTGTGGGTGGATGGATGGATAGATGGGTCGATGGATGGATGGATGGATGGATGGATGGATGGGTCGATGGATGGATGGATGGATTGTGGAAGGACGGATGAATGGAAGGATGGATGGTGGAAGGATGGATGGATGGATGGATGGATGGATGGATGGATGGATGGATGGGTCGATGGATGGATGGATGGATGGTGGAAGGACGGATGAATGGAAGGATGGATGGATGGATGATGGAAGGATGGATGGATGGATGGATGGATTGGTGGATGGATGGATAGGTGGGTGGATGGATGGATGGATGGATGGATGGATGGTGGAAGGACGGATGAATGGAAGGATGGATGAATGGATAGTGGAAGGATGGATGGATGGAAGGATGGATGGATGGATGGATTGGTGGATGGATGGATAGGTGGGTGGATGGATGGATGGATTGGTGGGTGGATGGATGGATGGATTGGTGGATGGATGGATAGGTGGGTGGATGGATGGATGGATGGATGGATTGGTGGATGGATGGATAGGTGGGTGGATGGATGGATGGATGGATTGGTGGATGGATGGATGGATGGATAGGTGGATGGATGGATGGATGGATGGATAGGTGGGTGGATGGATGGATGGATGGATGGATGGATGATGGATGGATTGGTGGATGGATGGATAGGTGGGTGGATGGATGGATGGATGGATGGATGGATGGTGGAAGGACGGATGAATGGAAGGATGGATGGATGGATGGTGGAAGGATGGATGGATGGAAGGATGGATGGATGGATTGGTGGATGGATGGATAGGTGGGTGGATTGATGGATGGATGGATGGATAGGTGGGTGGATGGATGGATGAATGGATGGATGGATGGGTGGATTGATGGATGGATGGATGGATGGATAGGTGGGTGGATGGATGGATGGATGAATGGATGGATGGATGAATGGATGGATGGATGGATGGATGGGTGGATTGATGGATGGATGGATGGATAGGTGGGTGGATGGATGGATGAATGGGTCGATGGATGATGGATGGATGGATGGATGGATAGGTGGGTGGATGGATGGATGAATGGGTTGATGGATGATGGGTGGATAAATGGATGGAAAAATGTGTGATACACTACTTATGGATTATCTTTGTTTACTTCCTCTGTTGCCTTAATTTCCATTCATCGAGTTTATCGCAGGGTCAAAGGTCAACTGCACCTACTGTAACTATGGTCCTTACAGAAATTGCTTGCAGACCAGGTTTCTGATAAACAACGCCATCTTATTGCTTGCTACTGTTCACCAAATCGGTAAACAGTGATTTCAATCCAGACCTACACCAATCCCCAACTCTAATTAGTCAGTCTCTGCTTTGTTTCTCTGAAACTTCATAGCAAAGCCAGTTTCTGTGAGTTTGTGGCACACTGATGCCATGACTTTAACTTTTCACTGTTTTAAAGGAAAGCTAATCGGCTGGATGCCTTGACAGGAAAATTTTTTCCTCCGAGCAGCCAGTCCAGTCAGTTAGCAGTCAGTATCAGCAGCTTAAATATTTTCTGTCAAACTGATCTCTGTGTTTTTAGTCATAATCATTCAAATTACAATCAATGTAAACAGAAGTTTGACCTAAATATCTACAGTGGAGTCTTCAGTGATATCCCAGTTTAATTAGTTTAATTAGCCCCTGTAGTTGTGGACTCACCACTATGTCAACATCGCCATCAGCGTCATCCAGTCAGTAGAGATCAAGCAGAGGGTGTGTAATTGATGGTCATTTCAGTAATAATTGTACTAATAGATGATACATAGTTGGTAAGTGATGATAAGTTGGTGGACATGTTGGAGTAGAAGAAATGTATTCTGTGGTGAGAAGTGCTTAAAGCAAATAATGAGATGAGATCAGGAGCATCTGTCATTAAATGACCAATTGATCTATGCGAAATATTGGCTTAAAATCAATGTTTGGAAGCCAGACTACCAATTAAGTAGACGTTTTTTTTTATATGTAATAACCTTAAACTAACACTGTTTTAAATTATTGACCAAATGAGAAAAAAATAAATTTTGTAAAGTAGGGACTTATGGAAAAAAATAAAAATAATTATTACCACCTTAGTGTCAGTTTATGTGGAAAAATAGACTTGAAATATATAGGAAATATGTATACCAAATAAAATATTTATTTGACCTTATCTTAATATAATGTTAAAATGTTAATCTTTAGATGAACTGAAACAATAGAGCCTGGAGGAAAAATATTGCCTGAAAAATCCATTTATTTTTCTTTTTACACACATGCTTGCCCCAATCTTCACACGTCATAAACCTGCCTGCCAATAACTAATTAGAGCCGCAGCTCGAAGTGCCGCAGACGACACACAAAGCTGAAACATTAAGTCTTCAGCTGCCTATTAAAACAGCATTAAAGCTGTTTGCATCACAGGCTCTTATAATTGAATATTTTCCTTTACCCTGGCTGTTTTAATCATGAACAAGAATTTGTTTAAAAAAACCACAACAAATGAAGAAATATGCTAATATAGTGATATTATTTACTGCCTTCAGCAATGATTGGAGTGATAATGGTGAAACCAGGGGGAGCTTTTGTTGTTACTGGGGTGGGACTTAAGCTCAAAACAATATTTTATTTTATTGAAATTAGATTTTAACACAGAATGAAGCTTTGCATCAAAAGAGAAACCACATTTTTGTCACAAGTTAAGAGAACATTTTTTTTTTAAATAAATCTGTTTCCTCCTCTTATTTCAGATTGCCCACGATTACACCTTTCTGGACTACATACTGGGAGGATGCCAGCTCATGTTCACAGTGAGTACTATATAATGCCAGCATGCTCTTAGCTTTTGTTCCCTTTTCAGTTGCTCTGCTCTGGATGAGATCTAGATTTTTTATTTCCCTGGTTTGCAGCTGGATTGTACTCATTTACATACAGAGGATGGCAGTACTGTATAAAGGAATGATTGCACTAGTGGGGAGATTAGATAACGCTGAAGACCAGAATATGCCATAAAAGATATAGATAAGAAGTTATTACAACAATCATTGAGATGGATGTCAGCTTGACATTTCTCTAATCAGCAGTCATTGATGCGAGGAGGATTGGGCCAAAAAAGGTCATTGCTACAGAAGCTCGCTGTTCACAGAGTGTTGTACGCAAGCATATTTATTTAAAGTTAATGCAGGGAATTGCACATAGGCAACATGGAGCCATGATGAGAGGGACAGGGAGTGGACTGTGGTCAGATTCCACACATGAATTCATTAAGGAACTAAATGTTTTTCTTTTTTGATATCCAATTGATCAGAGGGAAAAGTGAAGAGGCAAAAAATTCACATAGGTGAATGTTGTGTATGATGGTTTTGTTTGGGAAACCACATCATCTGCTGTTGTTAGTGAACCTTCATTTACAAAATCCAAGTCAACACAACCATCCCTCAGGAAATTTGAACTACCGTATTTTCACGACTATAAGGCGCACTTAAACGTCTTTTTTTCCCCTCAAAATGTGCGGTGCGCCCTTTGGTGCGGTGCGCCCTATGTGTGTTGTAACTGCGACTTTTGAGACCACCCCATTGAGGAGATGATGAAAGAGTGGCTGAATGTAAGGAGACCAGGTGTTTTTTTTTCCCACTCATCACCATCGCTGTTAATATGTGACTCCATGCGTGCCCATCTCACAGCTGATGTGAAAAACATGGGGAAACAAATTAACCCTGTGCTCGCTGTTCAACCGCTCGACATCGGTGTGAACCGGACCCAGCAGGTGCAGCAGAAGCAGCGAGTTTACATGCAAAGTCAATGGTTGACGCGCGTATAGGTGCAGCAAAAGGTCCCGCAGCCTTTAAGCATCTGATGCACCGCCAACGCGCTGCTGCTGCTCGAGATGGAAAAATTGAAGTTTTGCTGCTGGACGCGCCGCATCAACCAATCAGAGAAGCTGATCTGGGAGCTGACAGCGAGACAGACACAGCGCTCTGATGACATATGATATTAACGCAAAGAAAAGGGCTGGATGGATGAGGAGATAATGAAAGCGTGGCTTAGGGAGGTGTAGCCTATGTGAGGAGACCAGGTGTTTTTTTCCACGCATCACCATCGCAGTTAATCTGTGACTCCATGCGTGCCCATCTCACAGCTGATGAGAAAAACATGGTGAATCAAATGAACGCTGTGCTTGCTGTTATCCCGGGAGGTCTGACAAAGGAACTTCAACCGCTCGACATCGGTGTGAAGCGGCCGTTCAAAGTAAGGCTGCGAGCGGCGTGGGAGCGATTGATGACCGACAGAGACCACAGTTTCAGGATAAGTGGAAGGCAGCGCCGGGCAAGTTACGCCACAGTTTGCGGATGGATTGTAGATGGACTAACGTGTCTGCTGACTCTGTTGTTCAAGCTTTCGCAAAAGCCGGCATTATTTCTGAGGAGCCGCGCTGCACGGAAAGTGACTCTGATAGCGAAGATGGGAAACTGGCATGTCTGATTTAGCGCAGCAGTTTTATTCAGAAACAGAGGATGATGACTTTGATGGGTTTGATTAATACTTTGTAATAAATACATGAATAAAGCACAATCATACTCAGTTTTGCTCCCGCTCTATTTTTCTACCTGAAAACTTAATTCAACAGCTGTTGGGAGCTGGAGAAATTCCACCTTTCTCCAGCAGAGTCCGCCGTGGATCCTCTGAGGGAGCCTCCTGCACAGCTGCAGCTCGTCAAGATCATCAGAGGATCCACTACTTAAGCTGTCTTCAGACCTTGCCTCAACGCCGCAGTGTTGTTCCAGTTGGTCAGCGCTTAAGCCTAGATCCTCAGAGTATTTCGATGACTTTTGAATCCAGCTTGGATTCTAATCCCTGTTTCTGTTTTCCAGGAAACCTGTGCCTCCTCTGTGAAAGCTCAGGAAGAGCTAACCTGCCGAGCCGACCCTCAGAGCCAAACCTGAAGATTCACAGAGAACCTCCAAGCAGCTCTGGACTAGAGCTGGAAAACCCAAACCCAAGGTCTGTTCAAATTAGACGTGAGACGCTGAAGCAGCAAACGGACTCTGCTGATGAACTCTTCTCCAGAACCAACAGTGACTCTCCCAAAGCTAACCTCAAGAACCCTCAAGGTACAATCAGTAAACTTCAGGAAATCAAACCTCCGTTGACAACGCTAACTGAACTATCTCTCACGCAGACTCCGGAGAACCAGAATCCAGGCCCCGAACCTGAACCAGTATATTCTGTGTTTTTGTCCATAAATAAACTGTTAAACTTTCATCCTTGTGTCCGTCAGTGGTGTTCTGCATTCTTGGGTCGCTTTTAGTGAACCCACCATGACAGAACACTGCGGCCAAACTCAAGGCCCAGCAGATCACCTCACCCGTCGACTGGAGGAGCAGGATGCCCAAATTCAGGGACAAACCCAAACGCTCCGTGAGTTATACCGTCTAGTTGACACTCATAACCAAATGCTACAGAGCTGTGCTAATTATCTGAACAGCGCTAATGCTGTCCCACAACCATTTCCGGGTCCAGTTCCACCTCCGAGGTCACCAGGTGTGACGTCATCAGAGTTCCGTCCTAGTCTCCCAGAAAGATTTTCTGGTAACATGAAAGATTGCAAAGGATTTTTTTTTCAATGTCGGTTGATTTTTCAGAACTCCCCTGGCTGTTTTTCCACGGATCACATGAAGATAACTTTCATTCTCTCGCAGTTAACAGGAAGAGCCTTAGAATGGGCTCAGGCAAGATTTGCCGCTGACGATAGCTTAAACTGCTACTACTCTGATTTCATTTCTGAATTTACCCAGGTATTCAACCAAGAAACTGACCAAACTATTGATTCTAGAGCTCTTTTCAACCTTAAACAGGGAAACTCTTCGGTGGCAGAATTTTCCATTAACTTCCGGGTTAAAGCGGCAGCTTCCGGATGGAACCAAAGCGCCTTAAAGGGAGCCTTTTTCATGGCATTAAACGAGCACATTAAAGATGAGCTCGCAACCCTCGACGAACCTGCTACCCTCGAAGATTTAATTCGCCTCTCCATTAGATTGGATAATAGAATCCGTGCCCGAAACAGTTCTAAGAAGCAGGGTACACTTTTTTCTGCCTCACATAACGTGACTGTTTGTTCTCCCTCTACAGAGCAGCTGCCCATTCAGAGGCCTAAGTCCCAGACTCTACCGTTGCCTGTTCAGGCCTCTCATTCGGGCGAAAGGGATGTTGAACCCATGCAGGTGGGACACACCAGGCTCACTCCAGAGGAGAGACAAAGGCGTTTTCTAAGCAAACTATGTATCTACTGTGGTGAGAGTGGACACTTCATTGCTTCCTGCCCGGCTAAATCAAAAGCCTGGGCCCGCCAGAGGATCTGAGGAGTCTGGCGGGCCAAATAAACACTAAGAAATCTCCTCGACTGTTGCTGCCTGCCATGCTTTTCTGTGCTAATCAAAGCCTCTCTTTCTCTGCATTCATCGACTCAGGCTGTGAACGTAACCTAATCGATTCTAACCTCGTCCAGCAACTCCAAATTGAAACCATTCCGCTGACTCAGCCTCTCAGTGTATCCGCTATTGACGGAAAAAGACTCCATCAAGTTACCCACCAAACTCAGCCCCTCGAGCTACTTCTGTCAGGTAACCACCGAGAGACAATAACATTTTTTGTTTTTCCCTCTGCATGTTCCCCGCTGGTGCTTGGTTTCGAATGGTTAGAGAAGCATAATCCTCACATTAACTGGACTGAACGTCACCTGGAATCATGGTCCATCTCATGCCACGAGACATGCCTTCGTTCTGCTGCCCCCTTGGTGGGGTCTCCTAGAGGTGGGGGGGAGATGGACTCTCCTGACCTTTCTTCAGTTCCTTCTGAGTACCATGACCTAGCCCCTGTCTTCAGTAAGGTCAGTGCGACGTCCCTACCTCCACACAGACCATACGATTGCGCCATCGAACTTTTACCTGGTGCTCCTCTACCTAGCAGCAGACTGTATAATATTTCCAAGCCCGAGAGAGAAACAATGGAAAAATACATCAACGAATCATTAGCTGCTGGAATAATTCGCCCATCATCCTCTCCATTGGGCGCCGGGTTCTTCTTCGTAGGGAAGAAGGATGGTTCCCTGAGACCATGTATTGACTATCGAGGTTTGAACCAGATTACTATTAAAAACAAATACCCACTGCCTCTCCTTGCCTCTGCTTTTGAACCCGTACAGGGAGCTACTGTGTTTTCTAAACTGGATCTACGAAACGCTTATCATCTCCTTAGGATCCGTGAAGGCGACGAATGGAAAACTGCCTTCAAAACACGCTTGGGCCAATTCGAATATCTAGTCATGCCCTTTGGGCTAACTAACGCTCCAGCCTGCTTCCAGGCCCTCATAAATGATGTTCTCAGAGACTTTCTCAATGTGTTTGTTTTCGTGTACATTGACGACATACTCATCTACTCCAAAAACCTCAATGAACACAAGAAACATGTCCGCCTTGTCTTACAGAGACTGCTGGAGAACAAACTGTTCGTGAAAGCGGAGAAGTGCGAATTTCATCAACCTTCAGTCACCTTTTTGGGGTTTGTGCTCAAGGGCGGCCAGGTTAAACCATCTGAGGACAAGATTAAGGCAGTTTTAGACTGGCCAGTTCCAGAGAACCGCAAACAACTACAAAGGTTTTTTGGGTTTTGCTAACTTCTAACTTCTGAGCAAAATTATGATGTGGGTGACCGAGAACTTCTGGCCATCAAACTGGCGTTGGAGGAATGGAGGCATTGGCTGGAGGGAGCTGAGCACCCGGTTCTTGTATGGACAGACCACAAGAACCTGGCT